TCTCTCTCTCTCTCTCTCTCTCTCTCTCTCTCTCTCTCTCTCTCTCAATACAAGACACTTTATAAAGCGCACTTCCTATTTACTTGATTGCACGGATTTTTTTTTAAGGCAGTAAAAAGAAACCTTTCCCCATATGAACAAGGCGCACACTACGAGTAGTTTGTAGACGTTTAATCACTGACGCATGACAAACGTGTTTCCTAATCCGTCTAAAGTTCTTCTATTTGTTCGCTTTTTTAAAACATTGTAAGTGATTACAAAACTTTTGACATGAGCAATTTTCAAATACAATATGTTTAAAACACTATCCGTTCTATTTTACACATTTATTTATTTCTTCCGATTTTAGACATGTTTTAAAAAGGCGAACAAAAAAAAGAAAATACACCATAATACTTTAGACAAAGTAGGAAACACGTTTGTCATGCGTCAGTGATTAAACGTATACAAACTACTCGTAGTGTGCGCCTCAAATTGTTCATATGGGGAAAGGTTACTTTTTACAGCTTGAAAAAAAAACCTGCAATCAAGTAAATAGGTAGTGCGCTTTATAAATTGTCTTTTATTGAGAGAGAGAGAGAGAGAGAGAGAGAGAGAGAGAGAGAGAGAGAGAGAGAGAGAGAGAGAGAGAGAGATAGAGAGAGAGATATTCTTTTTTAGATTTATAAAAATATCACTTCAAAGAAATAAACGAGCATTCATGATAGACAGTATTTTCTTAGATGATGTATTAAATGGAGATCTTAACTAAATTATCTTGGGTTGCTTTCATTTTATATATATGTAAAGGCTTGAAGCAAGCAATTTCAGTTTAAGGGGAGAGCACAACCAAATATTTAGACTCACTTTCATTACCAAACAATTCATTGGGAAGCCAAATTGAAAGATTTTTTTTTATTGAGGGGGCACAAGTATACAGTTGCTAAGTTTTCTATAATATCCCAGATAGCATGACTCCGTTGGGCCAACGTTGGTTTTTGGTTGTATGGTTGGTAGAGTGTTGGCGTTGGGGAACAGATGTAGGCCCAACGTTGGTCCAACGTTCATTTACGTTGGCATGAAAGCTAAACCAACGGTGTTGGGCATGTGATGTTGGCCCAACGTTGGTCCAACGTTCATTTACGTTGGCATGAAAGCTAAACCTACGGTGTTGGGCATGTGATGTTGGCCCAACGTTGGTCCATTGTAGTAACATGTTCACAAGAACAAGAAATGGATCAAGACCATTGTGTGTTGAGTAGGAAATGTTGGCCCAACGTAGGTCTAACTGAGTACATGTTGACACAAAACATTGCCACTTATTGTTGGTTATTCAATATTGGCCCAACGTTGGCCCAGCTTAATAAATGTTGACAATATAATGATTCATTGCTCTGTGTTGGGCGTGCTGGACTTAACTGGAGTTGGTCCAATAGTAGGAATATTGGGATTACTAGTACATGTACAGGTAGCCTGTAATGTTTGAGATGAAATGCTGGTCCAACGTTGGCCCAATGTTAAGAAAAGTATTCAGCAATTTAGATTTTTCTATTGTAAATCGATGGTAATGATATAAGCAACTCATTATAAACATGTGATCTATATTATATATTGAATTGAAATATGAGACAATCCTTATAAGTCTGTGAATTACATAAAGTAATTTTGTATCTTGGTAGATTCTATATTTAGCATCATTGAATCAAATTTAAAGTGCTGTGTTTTGCATGTTTTGGGCTCCAAAATAAATAGGTCACTGGTGAAATTCACTGGCTCGGCAGGTGACTCATAGGTCTCCAAGGAAACCATCATCTTAATCAGTTTTTTTAACCGCGCACTTGAACAGTGCAAAGCGTATGTGTCTGTTTAAGTGAACGCAAGAATTTTAATCCTTTCAAAGTAAGTATAGCTTTTGTTTTTGTTATTGAAATAATTATTAATGTGAAATTGTAAATATTATTTATGAAAGAAAGCCAAAAAAATACCTTTGGACCCGGATTTATATATACCGGTAGTCCAGGAGTTGGAGGAGGGGGGCATAGGTCCTATGATGGTATGCTAATATGGAACTTGCTCTCATATATCTTAAACTATGTCAAAAACACAATTCACTAAACTTCCATTTTTGTGCCGACCCCCCCCTAAAATTGGGGATATTAATTTCGGTCTGCCTGTTCGTCTCACAATTCTGTCCGTCTGTTACACTTTTGTTTCGAGTAATATCTCGAGAAGCCTTTGAGCTTTTACAGTGAAATTAAAAAAATAGCACCCTTGAAAATTATATGAAGATTTTTAAGATGACATGTTTGTAAGAAGAAGCTTTATCAACCGACAAATTACGAACGGGCATCCCCCTGGATTTATGATATGGCTATAATATCTGTGTATTAAAACCTTATTTATTTTATTTTTCGCAGCATATAGTATTTTGAACAAGAATTTTCCTTTAAGTTTTTGCAATTTAATTTTAGACCATAACTCCTTATTGTCCCGACCGCCCTTCGTAAAGTAACCCCCCAGCCACCCCCACCCACCCGTCGACCCCTAATAGATCCGCACATACTATTATTTTTTTAATTTATGCCACAGAATGACATTTTTTAAATTATCCTTTCATTTCCCTTCTCGAACCCCTTTGCTCGTTTAGGGGAATCAAATATATTTTCTAGTAGAAAAAAAGAATATTGCTTCATTTTGTTACAGCGATTAATAAAATCAATCTTCATTCTCAGCTTCTTGTGTTCTCTGATAAAATTGTTCATGACAATTTTCTTATCATTGTATATGCTCTAATAGAAATAATCACGATATTTTTTTTTGATACATAGCATAAAAAAACATGCATCATTGAACAATATTTACGTGAATAAACTATATGCAAATGCTATATTTTCAAGTTATAAGTAAGGTATTTAATATAATTATATACGAGGGTTGTTCGAAAATTAATGGACGATATCAATCTCCGTTTTATAACTCACTAAGAATTTTGTAAGCCAATGACAACTCTTTTGTCGATTTCCAAAGTTTATTAAATTAATTAAATTTACAGTTTTCCGTGATCGTATAGTTTTCGAATTTGAAAAGTGATTCGTATAGACCAATGCACAATAATGTTCACTATATCCCTCCCAGAATGTAAAGAGTTTTAAGACTGAACTCCAAATAGCAAACTTTATCAAAAGTCCGAAATAATGATGCCCAAAATAATAAAATGCCATAGAGGTGTAATAATTTGAGAATAAAACCGGGAATACTCTTTTCTTACTAAAACAGGGTATTTTGTGCTCAGTGGGTATTCATGGTCCCGGATATAAAAATGCATTTCATTGGATAATTTACCATCACCAACCACTAACGCTTTGTCCGCAGGTCTGTCCGTTGACCTATGAACCCCAACATGGTACCACCCTCAAATGCAGGTAAATACATGTTACTAATATTTATGGGCTCAGTCCCCATCTCTGCACCACAGGAGTTCTAGCCTTAAGCTCTTTTACTTATTTACTTCAAAGTACCCAATTTTATTGCTCTTAGTCAAAGCTCTTAATAATACCATTGTATTTCCGTTCAAATTTTATTACTTACTATCGATGGACTTGATTGGTCTATTCGGAACAATTTCATTACAAAATGATCTACAAAATTATAGTGCATTTGAACAACAACAAAATCCAATTTGTTTTGACAAGATAATAATTGTTTACAAAATTAAAGTCCTTTTTCCAATTATAAATTAAAGTCACCGAATCTGCGTCACTAATAATATACATTCTGATTTAATAAACCTTTATATCATTTTATTTTAACTGCTAAAAACTAAAAATGATTATGTCATTAATATTGTCTAAGTTTAAAATGTTCACACAATATGTCTGTGCTAAACCCTATAGGTTTACAATTTACAATATGCACTATATAATATATATATATATATATATATATATATATATATATATATATATATATATATATATATATATATATATATATATATATATATATATATATATATATATATATATATATATAATATTTTGTTTTATTTATGTGCAACATATTTATTATTAAATTTAAAGGCAATGTTACGTCAATACATATCGTCAAGAATTTCTGCAAAAATACTATCCCTATACATTTCACACTGTATAATGCAATACAGACTCATTAAATCCAATTTTTTTTTTATACTTTTATATAATATTTTTTAAAGAATTGCACCCATTGTATAATTTCTTTTTGTTATGGTTTTAATTTCTGTTAATTACTCAGTCTGCTTTATCAAGATCAGTAATTCAGAGGCGCCTATGTCCTTTGTTGACGTTCCAATTTTTTTTTAAATTTTGGTTCAGATTTTTACAGGTAAACCGTTTTTTACAGATTGTACTCATATACTGATTGTACTATTTGTACACACATGGAGATCTTGCTCATAACATATTTGTTTTAATCCGCTCTCAATTTTAGAGTTTATACAGGATTTCTCCTTAGTAAAATACAAAATTGCATCGCTATCTGCTGCTTCGTGACGTTTTAAAACGTCACCGTTTTTGTCGTTTCAATGAGGACTTCCTATCTTCTCAAGTTGATTTCTTTCCAACAAAGCAAAATCTTAATTTTAAATACGAATCAATGTAATAATTCTTTATTCTAATTTCTAAATTGTTTCTCGTTTTTGCTCCAATTTACACAGAATATGACTACAGAAATTATTTAATGTATTGTTCGTAACTTACTAATTTTGACTTGCTCCGCAATCCCATTTTTGCATTTTAAAAATCTTGATATTTTTTTCATCAATTGTGATGTTTAAAAAAAAAATTAATACAAATCATTTAGATATATTGTTAAATATTTGTCCCAAATTTGGTAAAAAGAGGACGTAAAATAAAAAAAAGATATGACAGAAATTCACGAATTTTTCGAACATTCCTCGTACATTTGACAATTCACGAGGCAAAATCTGTAAATATTGTATGTGTGATTTTTTTTTCAGTATTATTTGTTCTGTGCTACAAGTATCATGTCCAGTTTGTCAAGCTACACAGGAGTTCTTGCTCCATCGTTTTCACAGAGATTGATGTTTGCCCCGTTGTTAAGTAACAGTTGTACCGTGCTACCATGTCCATTTTGAGAAGCTATATGAAGAGGACTGACTCCATCGTTGGTACATAAATTGATGTCGGCACTGTTATTCAGTAACAGTTTTACCGTGCTACTATGTCCTTTTTGACAAGCTTTATAAAGAGGACTGACTCCATTCTTGTTACATAAATTGATGTCGGCACCGTTGTTCAGTAACAGTTGTACTGTGCTATCATGTCCATTTTGACAAGCTATAAAAAGAGGACTGACTCCATCCTTTTGACATAAATTGATGTCGGCACCGTTGTTCAGTAACAGTTGTACCGTGCTACCATGTCCATTTTGACAAGCTATATAAAGAGGACTGCCTCCATTCTTGTTACATATGTTGATGTCGGCACTGTTGTTCAGTAACAGTTGTACTGTGCTATCATGTCCATTTTGACAAGCTATATAAAGAGGACTGACTTCATCATTATCACATAAATTGATGTCGGCACCGTTGTTCAGTAACAGTTGTACCGTGCTATCATGTCCAGTCTGACAAGCTATATAAAAAGGACTGGCTTCATCCTTTTGACATAAATTGATGTCGGCACCGTTGTTCAGTAACAGTTGTACTGTGCTATCATGTCCATTTTGACAAACTATATAAAGAGGACTGACTTCATCATTATCACATAAATTGATGTCGGCGCCGTTGTTCAGTAACAGTTGTACCGTGTTATCATGTCCTATTTCAGTAGCTATATGAAGTGGACTGAGTCCATCATTGGTACATAAATTGATGCCGGCACAATTGTTCAATAAGAGTTGTACGGTGCTATTATGTCCATTTTGACAAGCTATATGAAGAGGACTGAATCCATTCTTGTTACATAAATTGATATCGGCACCATTGTTCAGTAACAGTTGTACCGTGCTATCATGTCCATTTTGACAAGCTATAAAAAGAGGACTGGCTGCATTCTTTTGACATAAATTGATATCGGCACCGTTGTTCAGTAACAGTTGTACTGTGCTATCATGTCTATTCTGACAAGCTATATAAAGAGGACTGCCTCCATCCTTTTGACATAAATTGATGTCGGCACCGTTGTTCAGTAACAGTTGTACCGTGCTACCATGTCCATTTTGACAAGCTATATAAAGAGGACTGCCTCCATTCTTTCTACAAATGTTGATGTCGGCACCGTTGTTCAGTAACAGTTGTACTGTGCTATCATGTCCATTTTGACAAGCTATAAAAAGAGGACTGCTTCCATCCTTTTGACATAAATTGATTTCGGCACCGTTGTTCAGTAACAGTTGTACCGTGCTATCATGTCCAGTCTGACAAGCTATATAAAGAGGACTTCCTTCATCCTTTTGACATAAATTGATGTCGGCACTGTTGTTCAGTAACAGTTGTACTGTGCTATCATGTCCATTTTCACAAGCTATAAAAAGAGGACTGACTCCATCCTTTTGACATAAATTGATATCGGCACCGTTGTTCAGTAACAGTTGTACCGTGCTACCATGTCCATTTTGACAAGCTATATAAAGAGGACTGCCTCCATTCTTGTTACATATGTTGATGTCGGCACCGTTGTTCAGTAACAGTTGTACTGTGCTATCATGTCCATTTTGACAAGCTATATAAAGAGGACTGCCTCCATTCTTGTTACATATGTTGATGTAGGCACCGTTGTTCAGTAACAGTTGTACCGTGCTATCATGTCCAGTTTCACAAGCTAAATAAAGAGGACTGTCTCCATTCTTAGTACATAAATTGATGTTAGCACCGTTGTTCAATAAGACAATAATGGTCTCATTACGTCTCTCCCCTTCCTTTGTTTCCATTCCAGCCTCTTTGAAATGTTCTTCGTCATTTGCAATAGCTAATAACAATGGAGTCCACATGTCATCAGTTGTAAACTTGTTAACGTCAGCACCGAGATGCACTAATTTCTCAATGATTGAAAAATTATGAAATAGAGAAGCAACATGAATTGGTAAGCAAACAACCCAAATTTCGTTTATCGCTGATTTTTTATATTCCTCGCTGAGAGAATTTAATAAGTCTAACTTACCATTTGCACACACGGCGGAAAAGATAGGATAATCTTTAAACGTCGATTTATTGATTATTCTCAAGAAGAATGAAGAAATTTCATTATGACAAAATATAATGAATCCGATTAAAGGACATATTTCATCTCCCCAGTCAAGAAAGCCAAGTCTAGACAAACCAAAACCTTTAAATGAGCTTGAAAATTTAGATCTGTCTATTTCGCACTTAATTCCGACAAGAATCTTTTCAATTGCATCTACCTTTTTCTTTAAGGATTTAATGACGTTCTCTTTCCTTAAACAAGGATTGAGTAGAACATCTGGAAGGTGTTCTGTTTGCATGTCAATAATAAAGCGATCCACAAGATCACCAATGTACTCTTCAGGCAGGTAAACAGTGAAGGGATCGCGATCTTCCTCTTCTGTATCGTCTTCTATCTTCACCCGGCGTCTCAGAAAACCACTATCTGCGTACTGTATTGTCTCTTGTGGACAATCAACACCAAACACCAGAGTCGTTATCTCCATAATAAAATCATGAAGGAATTTGTAAGAATGCCCCACACGTTTGACGTAGGAGCCATTCAGTTCATGTAAAGTTCTTCCAATGAAAGAAACGTTAATGCTGTCTGGAAGTTCACACAGCCCTAGAATGTTTTTGAATTTATGTAGTGATAAATCATTTTTCTTTATAGAATGAATATTTAAATTATTGTTAAATGCCATAATCAATAGCAGGGCACAATATTTATGCTTATCGTGTGTTTTGTAATGTTCTATTTCCTTTTTTATGAACACAGAAGGATTTTTAAAGAGGTTAACTCCTTCTTCTCTGCTGCTCAATTCACACGAAAAAACTTTACACAGCAAAGGAAAATAAGCGTCCGTTTTGATAATTTCCCTAACTTTCTCTTCAGATATATCCAAATGTTGACAGTATTTATTCAAGATCTTTCTTTTTTCTTCATCTGTCAGATCTAATTTGTCGCCGTCAATTTCTACTATGTTAGACTTATTAAGAATACCTTCTAATCTCTTGTCATTTATGACGCATCTTCTACATGACACCAACAATTTAACTCTTTTCAAACAAGTTTGTAATGTTGTCTCGTAAGTTTTCCATGAATTATATGATATATCATCTAGTGTCTCCTTACCAATAGGATCATTCAGTACAAAGAGTGTTTGATTACCTGGCAATATTCCAGGAGAACATATTTCTTTTATTTCTTTCACCTCATCGACAGGTTTAATATTCCATCCCGTTTCTTCTTTTAACTTAAGTGCAATGTGTTGGATAATTGCCGTTTTTCCGCAACCAGAATTACCGACGACCGTGACCAGATTTTGACTTTTAATCTTTTCTTCTACAAATTTGCTTGCCGTTGTCGGGACAAAGTACTTTTTGTCCTCTTGCCAACTTCTCAGAATATCGTCTATAAGAGTTGTACCTTCAAATATTAAAAAAAAAATCATCACAAAATTTTTTTGTGTTATAATGTGTATGTCTTGAAAACGTCATGCTCACCTTCAACAGAAACTGTTGAAATGGCTCTTCAATACGTTTAAACTTACCCCAAAAATAGTTAATCGATTTTGAAATATAAATCACATTTGTAGACAAGATAAGGAGATAAAATTGTACATATAAGTATTGTTCATTATTTTTTATGGGGAATTCTTTTCTGTATTCTTTAAACGAAATCTTAACTTCTTGCATAATTAAATGTTGAGGATTTTAAAGATGATATTTTATTGCCTCCTCAAATTTTTACAAATTGAAATTAAGATGGTAAACTGAGATTTAAAACAATCCATTCCCCACGAAAAAGTGCAATTCCAAGCTTTTTGACATCATATATAGCTGCTTTTTCATTAAAAATGGATCTCGTAAATTAAACACTATATTAATCTTGTCATTGGTCAATTCAAAAATGGTTTTGTTTAAAGATTCTTATTGTACACATCAGGACTTTAAACTTGATATTATAAGAGGCAAAGTGATATACAGACCCTAAACCATGCTACTACGCCTCAGAAACGAACCGGACCGTTCCGTGCAGAAAGCGCACCGTACCGTGCACAAAGCGTACCGTACCGTCCACAAAGCGAACAGTTCCGTGAACAAAGCGTAACGTTCCGTGCACAAAGCGAACCGTTCCGTGCACAAAGCGTACCGTACCGTGCACAAAGCGAACCGTTCCTTGAACAAAGCGTACCGTACCGTCCTCAAAGCGTACCGTTCCGTGCAAGAAACGAACCGTACCGTTCTATGGTTAAATATGCAAACCACGCCCCCAATGATTTTTGAATCGTATAATGACCAAATAAGTCATTTTGGTTTATTTCTTGCTACAGCGCCTTTGAAAGGAGGACGGAGGTTGTGTCTGCCTGTTCGAAACACCATTATCAAGTATCATGCGTCGGGATCTTCAACTGTAAAAATAAGGAAACTACTCGAAGCAAACTACAACTGCAAAACAACTAGACAGAGTGTGAGACGATTCCTTATTTGCTATAAATTAAGTCAACTGGTTGTGTTTGTGGTCAAAGGTACAGTACAGGCCACGAGTTTTTCCCGCAAAACACGTACGGGGCACAGTGGACCTCGAACAATGTCGGCGTCTTTGAAGTCTTTCATTTTCATACTACACGTTTTAGCAAATTAAATCAATTTCCTTTTGAAATATTTGCTGTATTTAAATATTCGTAATTTAACAATACAGATATGTAAACTAAAACTATAAGATGCCCCAAAATTCAATATAATTGTGCTCGTGTCCGGAAAAAAACCCGCCTTAAATGTGCACATGTACATTAATTGATGTTTCATAATCCTATAATTGTATTTGACATAAAAAAAAGGTTCAATAGACTATAATACCACTAACATAGAACACGCTTTCATGAATTAATTCCAAGGTTGATTTTAATTCTGCTCATTTAAATTATTAATTCAAATCTTATCGGATACAAGATCGTTTTTGTCGTAAGTATGCAAACATATGTAGTACATATCAGATGCGTGATTTTACTGATGAAATATTTTGTAAGAATTTAAAACATATATAAACTGTCAAATTTAAAAAATGATCCGTATTAGACTCTCACATTAATTCTGTTAAGATTCTTACTATAGGCGAATCATTGGTGCAATTATACTTGCACTGAAAATCTGTTATCATGTAAAATATGGATTAAAATACTACATGCGGTAAATATGAAGAATTCTACTGAACAGACAGAGATAATAATCTTACTAATAAATCTGTGATCAACTTTCACGCTGCATACAAAAATCGCCAGCCGAATTTCTTGCAAATAAAATGTGCAAACTGCAGTGTAAATGTTACCTTGAATTCATTCTGAAATACATCTTATGAAAAATAAAAAAAACAAAAGAACAGTTTGCGAAAAAATGAAGATATTATAAGGTTTGTTACACTGTACCCATATCCCCTTTCTAGAAAGCAATACGAATTAGCTGGTTAAAAGTTCTTTTAAAAGTCTGCAAAATGGTACGTTGTTGTAAATTAAAATTAATCATAATCTACAGAACACATTTTTATAAGTGTCTGAAAAAAGATAATTTACTAAATAAAATGAAATTAAAAAATATATATATCAATCCTCTTTCAAGCCATATTATGTTTGTTACCCCCCCCCCCTCTAGAAGGCGATACTTATGCGAATTTATTTGGTTTTAAATTGTGCTTTTTTTTTTAAAAAAAGAAAATTATAATTCAGGGATACATGCTTATTTATTTTTGTCTGAAAAGGGATAATTTAGGAGGTAAATTTGTAATCAGTGTTGTGGTGAAACCTGGAAGGTGAGTTTGCTGGATGTCTGTTGAGCAATTTAATACACTTAACTAAATACTTTGAAAGGTGTATTAAACACACGCCCCCCCCCCCCTCTCCCCCGTCTCTCCGGTTGTGACCCAATATTTTTTTTAGACAGGTGTGAACTATAAACTGACCAAAAGAATGTTTCAAATTACAGGAGAAATTCTTCCTGCGTAAACAGACTTTCAGGGTCACCTAGCGTCATGCCATTTTGATTGACAGGTGATGCCCGAGGATTTCATGCGACAGCATTCATGTACAGAGAACGGATTATTCATTCCACAATAGTTGTAAATGGGTTGATTAAATAGAATCATAGACTGATTAATTGTGACATTGGAGATATATTGATTGATTGTATATTGTTTAACGTCCCTCTTGAGAATTTTTCACTCATATGGAGACGTCACCGTATGCCGGTGAAAGGCTTCAAATTTAGACCTATACTCAGCACTCAGGGCCATTGAGCAGTGAGGGTTCTTTATCGTGCCAGCAGCTACCGTGACACGGGACCTACGTTTTTAAGGTCATATCCGAAAGACCCGTGACTTTCACTTCTAGTGCCGAGCGCTTGGCGAAGGAACAGTAACTACCTTTGTTTACGTCTTAGGTATGACGCGGCGCCGCGAACGAGAATCGAACCCGGGCCTCCCGATTACGATGCGAACGCTCTACCACTAGGCTACCGTGACCGGTCTTTGGCGATATAAATAAAACGAAGAATGAGAATAAATACAAGTTATTTTTTTTTTTACAGATAATGTACATGTATTAAGGGTTTGCATCTCTCTCTATCCTCTCTCTCTCTCTCTCTCTCTCTCTTGTTTTTACAGACTTAACAAGGATAGAATAACTTAATAAAATAAAGAAAAACTTCTAAAAATAATTACTTAATACACTGAAAGGATTATTGAAAACATAAATACTTGTCTGTTAAAAGAATGTGTATTGTTACGAGAAAGCGCTCGGAACTTATTGTATAAATTTCGTGTGTCTGCTGCTGATTTTTTGTATTTATTTTGTTTACTGATATTTCTCTTCTGAAGCAAACGTTTAAGCGATAGATCTACAATAAAAAAAAAACAATTTACATATCTAATTACTAGGAATAAAAATGAAGCAGGAAAAGTCATACTTATTTCTATAGATCAATCAATTAAAAATTATTTATATATGTGCATAGCATTATATGTATAAAACAAGTATATACCCGGTATTTATTAATTCCTTATAATTATGTTACAACTTTATTTTAAAGTGAAAAAATATTTCATTTAATTTTTTTCCTTTTTCAAATGAAAGGTCAGCATACGTAAAAATTAAATACGGAAATATTTACGAATTCTATATGTATTAATACATATCTATACATAATGACAAAGACATCGGTGGGGTGATGTTTTTTTTCTTCCTTTCACTTTTTTTTTCATTTTTCCTCCATCACCGCTGTAGTGTAAAATGTTTAAATTGAAACCGAGAAATTAATTTGTTAATAGCTGAAATATAATTATATAATGCATTAAGTACTTCAAAAGTCATTTAAAATAAATAAATTTTTAGAAGCCAATCAAGAATTAAAGCTAACAGGCTCCGCCCACTTCATTTGCATACCGTTTCTCAAAGCGTACCGTTCTCAAAACGAACCGTTCCGTGCAAGAAACGAAACGTACCGTCCACAAAGCGTACCGTTCTGTGCACAAAGCGAACCGTTCCGTGCACAAAGCGTACCGTTCCGTGCACAAAGCGAACCGTTCCGTGCACAAAGCGTACCGTACCGTTCTCAAAACGAACCGTTCCGTTCACAAAGCGTACCGAACCGTACCGTTCAAGTGGTGTAGTAGCACGGTTTAGGGTCTGTAATTTATGTTTTGATGAAGAACTGGAAATAACATTTTGAATAATGGGGGCCTTGATTAAACACAGTGGAGATTATAAAATCCTGACAAAAAGCCAGAATTCCCATTTATTCTTACCATTCGTCAATGCACAATAGCAGGAATGAGTCAGAGTGGACTTTTCGACCTTTTTTGTGGTGTAACAGATATCATGCTGATCAAAATTATAGCCGAAAATAAAATGTTGATGTTAAAACACTTTTTGTCCGGGCAAGCATGGCTTTTAACTCATCACAGTTGCATGTTGGATTTCGCTGCTTCATTCTAATCTGAATTGTGGTTTTGTAGATATAGAGATAGTTTGCGAACTTTTTGATCACCCCTAGGTCAGAATCCAAATTTTTTGCAAAAATCATAAAAGCAAATTTGCCTGTATCAGAAGGTCTACAGATTCCAAGATATGTCTGAACATTTGAAAATCTGCATATTTTTGTTGACAGATTGGTTGTATATTGCTTAACGAGAATTTTACACTCATATGGAGGCGCCACCACTTGCCGGTGGAGAGCATCGAATTTTGTAGTTTACTCGACACTAAGGTCCATGGAGCAGAGAGGGATCTTTTTCGTGCCAGCACCTACTGTTACCCGGGACCTCGATTTAATCGGTCTCCTCCAAAGGGTCGGTCTCAACGTCTCATATTTAAATTATTCAGAGTAAAGCAGATAAAGGGATACGAGGAGCTCTGCAGTTAAAAATAAAGATAGCAAAAGAAAATTATGGCAATATTGTGTTTTATGAAAGAGAGGTTCGATAGTGCTGTTTAGGACCTGGAAGGGTGGTGTTTCAAAAAGTTTTGTTTGTGAGGCTGGGGAGTGCTTTTGTAAGAATATCCCTTGAAAGATTGAGCAAAATAAAGTATGATGAATCAAATCAGCTACTTTAATAAGAATATTGACAGTCAAAAAATGAGATCGGCTATGTTCAGTAAAGAAAATGAAACATTTCGGATGAGAATGGAAATAGTACATGTATAATGTCATGATGATATAATTGATAGTTTGAGGTTCTGGTTAAAGAGAATTCGATGACTTGTTGATCACTAATATCATTTCCTGGTACATTTTTTTTTCTAGATGCTAATGTTGACCAACAAGAATTTCAATAATTTCAGTAAATTGGGTTCAACGTAAAATAGAATAAAAAATGAAAGAATTGTACTCAAATTTTTAAGAAAAATGGAATCACCCGCACTTTGATCAGAAAATCGATTCATGAACTACTTAGTACAGGAGAACACAAATTATACCGTAAATTAATTGGACAACTCAACAGGGCAGTGCGAGGTTCAAAACCAGAGTTGTGTTGTAATGGAGATGGTGTATCTGAGTATCTAAGTTCCAAAGTTCCAAATTAAAAACTGAAACAGCTGCATACATGCTGAGGGCAATAGAAGTTATTGAAATTTTAAAGATATCATACCGATTTACCTTTTGCCTCCTCTTTATGGGAGAGCTTAATTAATCAGATGCAGCGCTGTCAATTATAAGCAATTAAAGTACTAAGTGTCAAATTCTGTGGCTTAAAGACCGCTTTTGAAGTTTCTGTCCTATTCATTGACAGGCTAATGAAAAAAAATTCGTTCAACAATTGTTTCAGAAGTCTTAAGTTCTAAAGAGGGCCTAGAGAATGTATTGTAATACAGAGAACTACGAGAGAAGATTTATAAACTGGAAGCAGATATTATATTGATAACAATATATATTGATAACAAGGATGTTTGTGAGGCATCACAGTCTACCGAAATGGTGGATGACAAACGCCTTAGCATAGACATAAGTTAAATAAAGGATAACAGTAATGTCCATGTAAAATGGTGTCTAGAAAATGTGCAGCTAGCCAACTGTATGACCAAGCCTGGGGGCACCAGACAGGGAAGATACCTGAGGAATGTGTATGAACTTTTTTGATAGACATTTTATCTCGAATATATATCTCTATACGCTAGAGGGGCAACTGCATATAAATGCCAGAGAGGCAATCTAATTCCCTGGTGAACAGAGTGTATAGTCTAACCTAATTAGAGACAACATTGTCAATCTAAACTCATGCATATATTATAAATGATGATTTTTTGTTGATCATTTGGATATGTTTAATCTTGCTTGACCTTGGAGTTTGATCCACTTTTTCACAAAAAATTCCAAACTTTTCCTTTGACCATATCTTTTGAATGTAGAATCAGGACATTTATACTTCACATATATATTCTTTGTAGAAAGACCTTTCAGTGGATACCAACAACAATGACATTTTGACGTTGAACTTGAAAATTTTCGTCCTTGTGGAAAAAATTTATCCTTTGCCATAACTTTTGAACAGTAAGGAATAGGGCTTTCATACTTCACATATGTTATCCTTGTGAAAAGACGCTTTATTGAATATCTAGAACTTTGACCCTTTGGTCTTGACTATTGCGTTTGACCTACTTTTAAAAAGCAGACCTAAAGCAAAACATAACTTTCAAAGGGTTAAGGGCTAGTGCATTCATACTAGGGCTAGTGCATTCATAATAGTTCATACTTGTGACAAGACCTCTCTTTGGGTACCATCAAATCTGACCCCTTGACCTTGACCTTTGAGTTTGACTTACATTTCAAAATTTTAAACGGGTAACCTTGACCATAACTTTTGAAGGGTTAGTACTAGGGCAACCATATTTCACATAGGTATTCTTTGTGGCAAGACTTTTCATTAGATACTAATAAGCTTGACCTTTTGACCTTGGAGATTTCTATACTTATAAATAAACTTTAACCTTGGCCATAACTTTTAAACGCTAAGAGCAAGTGATATCAAACGTCACATATGTAATCCTTGTGACAAGACCATTCATTTGATACAATGTATCAAGAAGGATGACCCTTTGACCTTAACCTTGGAGTCAGACTTACTTGTTTAAATCGGTTACCTTGGGCATAACTTTTGAAGGGTTAGGGCTATGGCTTCCATACTTCACATATGTATTCTTTGAGACAAGACCTTTCATTTGATACTAATTACCTTAACCTTGGGGATTTCCGTTCCTACGAAAAAAACTGTCACCTTGGCCGACTTTCATATTTCACAATTGTACATGTATTTCCTTTGAGAATACTCTACTTTGGATACCAATATATTTTATTTGCATATAAGAAAAGTTTTACCTTCGCTATGTTGCCATACAAAAAAAAAAAATAGTGTTTCACAAACACGTCTTGTTTTTGATAATTTTGATGGTGTATCTGAGTATGGCTTTAAAAAGAGTGTTTTCACCACTTTGATTAGTTAGTGACCCCTTAAAAAATGCGATAAACATAAAAGATTCCAATTTTCCTTTGTAGCACAAAAACAAATGAATGTAATATAAACCCAAACGAATTAAAAATGTGAATCTATATCTCTATACCATCTGATCCGTTGATACAATAATCGTTTAACAAATGTATATTGTACAATTCTTAATTTAATAAGTCGCTGTAAGACCATCTTTATTTATCTTAGAAGTTCTAAAATTTTCTGAAACACTTTTGTTTATATTTGTTTCTTTCTCCATCTTTTTATGAAGGAAAATTTTATCAAAAAAATGAAATATCTTTTAAAAAACAAACATTTTTTGAATACATTTTTTAATCAGAAATTGTAATCTTTTCAGATATAAATATACATTATCTGCTTGATCGGTGTCTATGTTAGGAATTCTACAACTAACCTCCTTCATACTGGTCTTCATTTTCGTTCTCCTGTAATAAAGCTTCCGTTTCTGAATTTTGACTGGTTATTGAATCCATCCCAATTTCTAAAGAAGGAAGATTATCCATAGATCAATATATCAAACACTCTATGTTTTCTTTTGAATATTATATGTTTTTTTCAAGAGTATTACCACTCAATGTCATTCAAAACTTTGTCTTTGAACATCCATCTCAATATTTTCCCTATTCTTTATAAACCGTATTCTCTTTGCAGGGAAATAAAAAAAAATATTCAGGTAAACAAACCTCCAGATTCCATCTCATTGGCTTTACGACGAAATTTCAGTTTCCAGATCAACCATGAACAGAGCGCTATAATGACAAGTGCAGCTAATACCACGGGTACCGCTATCCAGGTTTTGCCACCAGAAGAATCCCCCGGACTGGTAGAAGTGGTCCACAATAGACTGACGTTGATTGTAGGAGAGACAGTCGTGACTTCAAGGTCACTATAAAATGAATTGTTCTTATAAAGGTAACTTGTTTGTGTCAAGTTAAACAGAAAGCTATTGTACATCTTGTTTACAATACATATAGTTTTAAGTAAAATTACCTGCGTAAACTAGGACAGGAAGGGTCAGCTAGATAGCATCTGTTTTGTTTGTTAATTGTTGTGCAAACTGGATCTAGAGAAACAAAATGAGATTACATGTATGCATCATTGATATTAGTTTTTCTTATTATTTAACAGATAAATTAAACTTTTTTCTTTAAAAAACTGTCAAATTAAAGCTTAGAATTAACAAAACTTAAAAGGGAGATTGAAGACAAAAAAGTATACTTATTATGTTTAATCTAATTGCATTGATGAATAAATGATTCCCGAAATTTTAAAGAACTTATCAGAAACAGGAATTCAATAAATTATGATAAGATAGAACTCTATAAATGTGTTAACAGTTTTATTTGTACGAACACTGAGTTCCATCTCTGGAAAAAATTGGAAATACAGCACATATCTTTAAAATGACATTTGGATGAAAGAAATACACTGTTTGAATGCCGTAAATTTTCCATAGAATTACTTTTTGAAACATCATTATGTACTTTTTTCTAAATGTTAAATGCAGAATAGAAGTTTTTTTTCTAAAAAAAATTCTCTTATAAGTTTTTGGGTTTATTTGTTTAGCATCCCTTTTGAGAGTTTGTAGCTTATGCAGGATTGCAAATTTTAGACATAATTGGTACTTAGTAGTGCAGGATCATTCACATGCCAGCACCTACTGCAACATGAGACGTATGATCTAGGTTTATATGCTGATATCCATAGGATAGTCTCAAAACCACAAAGAGATTCCAACCTGCAACGTTAGCATAAAGCCCTTACTCCGAGACGCTCTTACCACTCTGCCATTTTGGCGATGGTGCTGGTTACGTAATACATATATAGTGAATATCACTTAAAAGAAGTTTGTACAAAAATGCTAACTAAATTAAAGACAAAAACCAAAATTTCATAGTTCTTTTTATACAGGTTAAGGAAATGAGAGTTATTCGTATTAAAAATTCTTAAAATATTTAGGCGTTGAGATGTTAACAAATCGTAGATAAAATATGATGACTAATTTCGTGTGATATCAAATTGGAGATGTTAACAAATCGTAGATAAAATATGATGACTAATTTCGTGTGATATCAAATTGGTGAATCTATATATAGTATCATACACTGTACATAAAATGAATTGTTTTGACATATAGCATTTTGTGTCTCATCGCACTAGTAACAATGACGAAATCTGCAAATTTACAAATGTGCGCAAAACACTTACAATTCACCATCAGTTTGGATTTGTAAGTCGTGTTGGGACAGCCTTCAGTAAAATGCAGACATGATCGGTTGTTTAAATATCCAGATTGAAGGACCATACAATTTCCTGTTAATAAACATGTTAATACATTCTAAACGGAAACTAATAAAATGATACTAAGGTGTGTTTAAACAAACTTTAAACAAAAAATAATTCGATTTGTAAAAATTTATCAGTCGTTGAAAAGAATGCAAGAAGATTGTGCATGTAATATGCTACTTATTTTTCTTTTTTATGAAAAAATAAACACATTTTTTTTTGCTGAAAATAAAGCAGGCATTTATATCACAAAGTTTGTCAGAGTGATTGATTGTATAATGTTTAACGTCTCTCTCGAGAACTTTTCACTCATATTGAGACGACACAACTTGCCGGTGGAATGCTGCAAAATTTGTCTTATACTCGACACTTTGGGCCATTGAGCAAGGAGTGATCTTTTTCGTGCCAACACCTACTGCGACATGGAATCCCAGTTTACACTGTCTCATCCAAAGGACCGGTCTCCACGTCCAACAGTGGGATTCGAACCTGCGACGTAAGGAACAACTCCTAACTCTGCAACTCTATAACAAACGCTCTAACCACAGCGCCACCTGGGCAACCCATGTTTTTCAGAATAAGCATCAAATCAATTTATCTTACCTATTTCAATTAAATAGCTTGTTTGATAGCACAATTCAACAAGTTGAGACAGGTCAGACAATGGTAAACAATGATAGGTGTTTTTATTCTGGTCAATTCCAGAACAATTTAGTCTTTTGGAAGCATGGTCAACTTCAGAAATGTTCCCAGGACATCTGTTAACTGGAAAAACAGTTCCTTTAGACCGTACTGTGGACATCTGTAAAAATTGAATCGAGTTAAATAGGTATTTTCGATAAAATTGTTATATGGATGGGGGTTGGACTTTAGAATTTTCCATATTAATCACAGGCTGAAGGTGGAGTGTTTTTAAGTGATGTAAAGTAGCATCCAGTTGTAAATTTATAAGAAATGTTTTATTGTTCATATTATTTTATTATCTTATCGTTTAATTGAATATTATTGCTCTTCGACTTTGTTATGAAAACAAATACTGTTTTTGTATTACTTGATGATCTATTGAGATATTGTTGAACAGACAGTAAGGGACAGTGAAACTAAGATGTTGTTTGTTAGTTTTTTATCATTGTCTACCATATTACGACTGTAATTTACTTACTTATTTCAGTATTATCACATGTGTTGTAAATGGCGCCTGCAATCTTTCTTACGACGAATATTATAAATTATTCTTTGAGAAAAGTAAAGTTTTCATTTTTTTTGGATAGGAATTACTTGATATTTTATGCAAAATTATAATAAGAAACCGGTAGACCTCTGTGGAATAAACATAGACATTATTAAATCTACAACATGTTTTTGTAAGCAATAAATAACACTTTTTAAAGACGCGACATATCTTCTACCTCTGTATTTCATGTCAATGATAACAAATCTGGATTCGTCCTTTTTTGTTTGTCGATGTGAAGTAATTTATTGAGTTAGAATGAATGAATAATACTTTTGTAATAATTTTGGTAATGTAGTTTCCATTCACAGTGGGACATCAATCAGGATGTCTAGGAGAAGTGGTAAAATGTTATAAAAGATAAATTACATGGAGAATTTATCAATACGTTAGATTGGTTAGAGAAAAACATGCTCACCATCAATATTTAAAAAAAAAGATCAGTGTATGTTAATTGGCACGAAACAAAGGTAAAAAACTTAAAGAATCTATCTATTCAAGTGGGTAGTAGTGTAACTTGTATCTTGCTTGAAAGCACTTGATGTTAATATTGACAAGTGTCTTACATGATCTGAATATGTTAAAAAATAGAAAATTAGATGTTTTGTCTAGATTAAAATCATTCATGTACTCTGAGTGACATTTCTTATTGTACCATTTGGAGCGTAAAGAAAATCAAGAACGGTCTTATCTGTAACAAACTGACGTGTAAACACCAAACAAAAGAGCCGCTACAGCGATTTTAAATAAACCTTTTAAACAAACACATTGGTAATGTTTCTAAAACTCAAGGAGATGGCATGTATTGACTATCTTGTTTATAGTTCTAATTGTCATCTTTGTTTTTAAATACCTGTATGAATTAATTCCAAATTAGTTAGATTTTTAAATATGTTAATTAAATAAAAATGTCAGAGCAATGCATTGTTTATCCTTTGCACAAAAACATATATAGAAGATCTTTACAATTTATGCTTTGAAAATGTGGAATAAACTGCCAGATGTTTTAAAGAGTTGTCAATCAATTCAAAGTTTCAAATCTGCATATATAAGAAATTATTTCCAGTCTGCAAACTAACCTTTAGAAGATAAAATGAAAGTGCATGTATATATGTAATCGATAAATTAATTGGTAATGGGGATATTAATTATTATGGAAAAGGGCGACGAACGAATTTTTTTAAACAATTGTATGCATGGAAAAATAATGGTTCAACAGTACTTGGCTTGTACACTAATTATTAGATAGCCTAAATCTTGTCAAACCGTAAACAGAATCTAGATCTAGATCTGTTTATTTTATTTTTGTTATTTAAACAGTATGAAATACATTATCTTTTATATGTTGATTGATGCAATAAAGGAACAGTAGAAAAACTATCTTTCAATACTCTCTTATTTAGCAATATTTTAAATGAAGTTAATGATAATATGTTATTTTAAAATGGCGGTATGTTAGTGATTTTCCCCCGGTTTAGAGCTGTGCCAGCTATTAGGCTGTAAATTTTAGATGATCTGATTCCTGATTATCTATTTTAACCATGAAGAAACTTACAGATTCCAGGAATATAATCCATGTGAAAAATATCCCATACATGGTTACTAAGATTTGGAATTTTTTTCTACATTCAAAATCAATATAACAGAAAATATCCGAAGACGGCTGTCAAATATTTGTTCGGATTGACAATTACGATATTTTTATCTATAAGAAATAATGGGTTAGGGTATATTAAAAATCCCCAACGAACTGGATAATATCTTTTTATAAATCGGTTTTAAAGCTCATTGTGCACAACTCTGTTGTACTGAGTCAAATGAAGTTTATTCTAAGGATATAATCATCCTTTGAAAAAAAAATTCATTCATTCACAAAAGTACATCTATGTACATCAAACCTTAGTAATACCTTTCGAAGGGATGTGTATCAACCTATGCACTGTTATGTAAAACATTAACA